TAGGTTTAAAGGGTGGGAGAACACAGAAATTTGGCAAAGGCCAGAAGAAAAGTTAAAAATTCCCCATCTTTATTTTGTAACCAGTGCCTCAGACTCTTTAGCTTTGTGCCACGAATTATGATTCCCTTGGGGACATCTCCTAAAATAACCAAACCTCACTTTTTACCTCTTACTCTGAACACTTTATCCTTATAAACAATATCCTATGGAGCCTCAAGTTTAGGTTGAGCCTCAACCAATACATCATATAAAGAAAATATCAGAGGTTGACTATTTGAAAGAGAAGGAAAAAGAGAGACATGAGTTCCAGTCACCACCAGCACTGTAACAAACACAAGCACAGCATAATCACCTGTACCCGGGCAATTGTGGTAATTGTGTATAAAAGGGTATATATGTGTGTGTATGTTGCAAAGTTGTATATATTTATGTCCTAACATAACAAAGAATAAATATTTGGAAGGAAAGACATCTAAAATATCAACATGAATTTCAACAGTAAGCAAATAGTAGTTACTTCCTTACTTACTTTTCTGCTTTCTTCACAATGTCCACCATGCACTGTTATCATCATCATATGACAGGAGAAGATAAGCAGCTCTATTTTTAATCACATCTATAAAGAGTTATGATGGAACAAGATATATTGCCTTTCTTGTACCTAAATGCCAGCACCAAGTATACCCCACATCCCATGGAGTGAAAGGCATGACTCGGCCATATTTTTGTTTATGATGGTGGCCATTTATTAAGTCAACATGATGCAATGATACATGGAAGCCACCATGTGCAATCTGTTTGCTAATAATTAAAAATCCAGTCAGGAAAGCCCTTTTGTGCATTATTACCATCCTTCAGCCATCAATGTCTCAATAGTACTGCCAGACACATCTTTCTTGTTTGTTTTTGCAGGAGGGAGGGGCAGCAATGTGTGTGTATGCACACTCGTGGGTTCGTGCACATGTCTGTCGGTGTGTGTCTGTGAGTGTGTGTGTGTGAGAAAGTGTGTGTGTGCACACATGTCTTTCTGTGTGTGTGTGTGTGAGTATGAGCATGTGTGTGCACACGTTTGTCTGTGTGTGTGTGTATGTGTGTGTGTGTGTGTGTGTGTGTGTGTGTGCGCGCGCACGCGCGCGCGTTTGTGTGTGATCTCCCCAACCCCTGCCTTTGTTTTTGGAATACATATCTGGCTGTAAGAGTGATCCTCAAGAGAACAACTCCCAGGCTGTGGGGCTGTTGCCGTGTTCTGCCATACACACAGGGCACGGGCCGTCTTTCACTGTATGCTTCACGCTCCCCCCGGAAAGGCCGGGCAGTGTTTAAAGCAAACTCCTGACTATGCACACTAAGGAGGGCAGTGTTTAAAGCAAACTCCTGACTATGCACACTAATGAAGGCAGTGTTTAAAGCAAACTCCTGACTATGCACACTAATGAAGGCAGTGTTTAAAGCAAACTCCTGACTATGCACTCTGGGAAACAGAGAGCTGGCTGAAACGTAAAGTAGGCATCAAAGAATACAGAAAGAAGATTCCTGCATACTCTTAGAATCCCTAGTACAGAAACAATGAAAATCCAAAGCCCACACACTTCTGTCATGCACATCATTACACATCAATGAGGTCCAATTAGAAGGCCTGCATGATGACTGACACCATGTCCTACTGATGGTAAAAGGCAGAGAGAAATGCAGGATTCCTCTGTATCGATGCTTTCCTGGATAGATAGTAAGTCTGAGAAGCATCAAGTTTCAGGCAATTATTAGGTGGTTTTTGGGAAAGTTACAACATGAATTTCATTTGCCCCATCCAAGACACCTTCACAGTGTTTATAGGTGATCCTTTGGGAGTGTGTGTCCGTGTCCATGTCCGTGTCCGTGTCCGTGTCCGTGTCCGTGTCCGTGTCCGTGTCCGTGTCCGTGTCCGTGTCCGTGTCCGTGTTCCATGTGTGTCCCTGCGAGTGTGTGTCTGTAGAGGTCCAAAGAGGATGTTGGGAGCCACCCTCCGTCACTCTTCTACCATATTCTTGAAGGCAAGGTCTCTCAGTCAAACCAGAGCTTGTCTTGACCTTCCAAAATTACATTTACAAGAGTTTTGGGGATCTGAACTCCAAACTTTGATCCTCAGGTCTGTGTGGCAAATGCTCAACGGCTGAGTTGTCTCCTTAGTACCTGCCCCAGGCTTTATTAAGAGCAGGGAGAGCAGCCAGAGGAAGTACACACGTACTACCAACTCTCACCATGTGATACCCTCTGGTACCTGAGACCTCTGCCATCAAAAAGACACTGGCAAACGTCTCTGGACCTCCAGAGCCACGAGTCAAAGCAAGCCTGTTTCCCTGAAACCTTAGTCTGCGCCACTGAGATATTGGCAACAGAACCCGAGACTACAGAGAAAGGGAGAAAGTCATTGGTGGGTTTGAGAGATGCTTCCCAAACTCCCTCTTGCAAGCAAACTCGGGCCGCCTCTCAGTCACGCTGCATGGACCTTTCACGTCATCTTTGGAAAACACTCTGATGGTGGCTTCCTCAAAAGGCTGAAGCTGGAGTTTCACGGGATCCACAAACCCACTCCCGGGTGTACAATGAAGAGAAAGGAAAGCACTCCCATGTCATAACAGTAGCAATAGGAACAGCCTAAAACAGAAGTAAATCAAACACCCAGCAACTGACGCATGGATGAACAAGGCATGGAAAAGCCAGACAAGTGAATCTTATTTGCTATGAAGAGAAATGAAATATTGGCACAAGCTACAATTCAGATAAATATATCATGCTAAGTGAAAGAAATTAATAACAACGATTGCACATTTCTTTTAAATGTCCAGAAGAGTTGCTCTGTAGGGCCAAATGGGTGGGACAGTAGGTTGTGTGGGGAAGAGATAACAAGAAAAGAAAAACTGCTAACAGTTTCTTTCTTTACAAAATAATTTTGAGGATCATGACAAAACTCTAAGAACAACTGAGGTGTTAAGTATATGAATTATAACTCAATAAAGCACTTGATAAAATCAATTAGAGAATATGAATCTATTAAAGCCACAATATAAACAAATGAATAACCTGGTATTTCTAGTTCATTAACATGTGGGTCAAGTCCTAAATTTAATACACAAAACCTTCACAAAATAGTCTTGGCAACTAACTCAATACAGGTATACCAGATCGGTTAGGGACAGGGGTTCTGAAATGAGGGTGAAGGTTGAGTCTCACCCCGTCACTCACAAGATGAACGATGCTCAGTGGTGCTAAGTTTCTGCAAGCCTCAGTTTCCCTACCTGATAAAATGAGAAAAATAATAATGACTCTCAAACAGTTGTTGCAAAAAATGAGACATCTCCCATAAGCTGCTGATTAAAGCCTGGCACAGAGAGGACTCCAATCCAACTCCATCCGAGTGTCTTCGTAACATACCAACTCCGGGAAAAGACACATAGCACAGCTGCCTGTCAGTCAATACCAATCCAGCCATTTTTACTGGGGTTTAGTGCCCTTACAGAAGACATGAGGAACAATGTCTCAACCATGAGAGAGTAGCAGAGAAGATGAGGTCTTTAAACAAAGAAGAGAGCACGCCCACCCGGTACCCTGATCTCAGTCCGCATGTTCTTGAGAACTTCAAAAAAAAAAAAAACATAAGTGTTAAAAAAACAACAACAACAAAACACTATGATCTGCACTACCCAGTCTCCGGGGGTCCGTTATACCACCTTGAAATGAACTAAGATGAAAACCGGCTAAACTGGACAGAAATTGTGCATGTGTACACACTTCAACTGGGTCACTAGGAAATGCCTGAATTAAGACACTGAAGGAAAGGAGAGGAACGAAAAGAGAAACACCTCTCCCATGAAACACTGTTCCGAAAACCCAGACCTGTGATGCTAGAAGCCCCAGCACCCACAATGTCCTGTGAGTCTGAACTAAGGACCACTAGGTAACAGGGAAGCCACTGCCCTCAATCACAAAGGACAAAAAAGTGCAGCTTCTGAGATTAACACAGCAGCCATGGCAAAGGAACAAACAGGACAGACACCAACTGTGTACTCTGACTGGGTCCCAAAGGAAAATGAAATACACAAACTCTGCGGAGTCTGAATTGTTGGGCCAATAACTCATGAAAGAGCAAAGAACAAATTATACCCAAGCCAGCTACTTCATGACAACTGGTTAGCTGCCCCCCCCCAAATTGGAGATCTATTGATGCTTTTCTCTGATGGGACAAATGAGAAAACTGGAGTACACCAACAGAGGGAAAGCTGAGCTACCTAGGCCTTTTCTTCTTACAATGCATAAAATAAACTCAAAAACATAAAAATAAAAGTTTCTCTGTCATTGGTGATATTTGAAATGTATAAATAAAAGACAAGGTTTTTGCTATTAAAAATCACAATACAATAAATAATAATAATAAATAGTGCTAGAGTCCCAGTGTTCAGGTGACAGGAAGGATTAAAATACAAATGTAACGCGGACATATATTTTCCCATTGTATTTGTTCTGTATAATGAACATTTTATAAAAGTGCAAAACATGGCCACCATTCTCACACTTTAAAAAATACAAAGTTTCAATCATTCCCTCTTCCAATCCAAACAGTGATCTCTAAGGGTCATGAGCCACTCAGCAGTACCAAGACAGTGCAAAATGGCACCTTGTAAACACTATTTGTGCTCAAGCCAAGGCCACATGTCACTCACCGGGTCCTCGTAGGATGGATCCTACCCCAATCCATCTGCACACATCCACAGTTCTTCCATCCCACCCTGCAAATATGCTGCTCCAAATGGATCGTTAACAGATCCCCCATCTGACAATGGGCTTGTCACGATCCCAAGCAGGTTGTCATTTGCAAGGGCAGTGTCAGTGAGCCTCAGGACCTAGGTGAGGTCCTGTATTTACACATGGTCTGCAAGCATCTTGAAAAAGCCTAACCGCACACCACAGAGATGCCCACGCATATGAGGAAGCATGAGGAACAGAGAGGAGAGTATTCCAGGTACCTGGGTGCTGAAGCTGGTGTTGATAAGGCCAGCCTCAAGTGCTGTTATCTTCCATTTTCCAGAAAGAGAACCTAGAATGGAAAACAAAGTAACTTTCCAAGGTTATGTCGCAAATCATCTGAACAATCTAGGACAATGGACAGGTTTCCCGAGCTGACAGCTGTTCCTCTGTCTGTTAAGACCTGCTGTTTCAAAATTACCATGCTAAATCCAACACCCAAGGATCAGTGCCAATGCCAGGATCTAAGTAGAGCAAGGGAAGATATTTGCTGGCTAATGACTGCTTTATTGTCACTCACTCTGGGCCACTGGTCCTGTGGTGTCCACAGGTTTTCAGATGCTCCACCAATATCTAGTACAGTACTGGGAACACAAGAAGTTCAAGCTGAATGAATAAACACAAAAGAATATTCTAGGAAATACATAACACCTGAGTAGGCCTGAGGACGTAAAAGGAACTGAGTAAATACATCATTGAAAGTTTGTTTTGTATTTTGGGGAAGGAGGCACCTCCAAGTTCATTTCTGCCCCTATTTTCTTGCACTCTATTGTTCCTCTGAACCAATCAACTTGAGATTGTTTTCACTGACAAAAGTAGAGTCACAGCATCCTAGAGTAAGTCCCACAGACAGACCAAGGGCTGCAAATGAACCTAAGAGAGTAGCACAGGGGAGATGCTCACAGTCCTGTGTGAATGGACAACCCTCTCCTCGGTAGTATGTGGGAACTATGTCCTTCTTTCTCATTGTAACTAACTTTTAATGCAGAATGGAAGTGATCAAAGCCCAAGTTAGGATCATTAGGACCAGATAACATGGATACACACACACACACACCATCTGTTACGTAAACAAGGCAGGTCTGCTGACAAGAAGCAGTACAGAGAGGCCAGAAGAGAAGACAAGGCTTTGGCTGACAAGAGTCCATCTCAAAGGCTACTTGTGTAGTTGCCTGTAATTTTCTTTCTTTTTTTTTTATTCCATTTATTTATTTATTTATTTATTTATTTATTTATTTATTTATGACTGGGTTTCTCTGTGAAACAGTCCTGGCTGTCCTGAAACTCACTCTGTAGACCAGGCTGGCCTCAAACTCACAGAGATCCACCTGCCTCTGCCTCCTGAGTGCTGGGATTATAGATGTGCACCTCCACCGCCACCACCACCACCACCATATGGTGCCTATACTTTTTCATGACTCAAATTTTCCATATTTGAACTCAGGAGGTGGTGGTGCAGACCTTTAATCCCAGCACTCAGGAGACAGAGGAAGGTGGATCTATTGTGAGTTCAGGGCTAGGCTGGTCTGCAGAGCAAGTTTCTGAATTACACAGAGAAACTCTGTCTTGAAAAACAAAACAAAAAAAAAAATAGGGTTAGTTATTATATTGGCTATGTATTAATTATATCTGCCACCTTTGAGCTCATGTGAAAAATAAACAAACTGAGAAACTGGAAAAACAAAAAGCCACTAGATAAGGCTGGGACTATAGTTCACCAGTGAGCACTTGCCTGGTGCATGAAGGACCTGGGTTCCATCCCCATTGTGGAAGAAAAGGAAGCCAGCAAGCTGCTAGATGGGCGTCACCCACTGCCATGATGACACTCTCACAAAGGTAAAGTGCTGCGGTGGCAATCATCTCAAGTTACACCAAGCAAGACACAGGCAACTTCTCTGCATCATGTCTCCCCATCCCCATGTACAATTCGTATGTTTAATGTACACTTAAAAACAAACTGGTTTTGTCGTTGCTGTTGTGTTTTTAAGAAAACTCTTCTGTAGAAGGTCACATACTAAATACTGTAGGCTCTTCAAACTGTATGATCTGTGTCTGGTCTCAGCTCTGCCACCAGAGCATAAAACCCACCATAAGCAAGGCAGAAACAGGTGTGGCTATGCCAATAAAACTTTATTCATCCACACAGAAATTTAAATTTCATAACATTTTTCCAATGGTACCCCCACTGGCTTCTGCCTCCTAGGTGCTAGGATTAAAGGCATGACCCATCGATCCTGGGTTTTTTTGTTGTTTTGTTTTGAACATGTATGTATGTATCTATGTATGTATGTATGCCTCAATGTGTGTATAAGTACCACATGAATGCAGGAGCTTGCGTTGGTGAGAAGACAGAGTTCAGTTCCCTGGAACTGGAGTTATGATGGTTGTGAGCTGCCATGCGGGTGCTGGGAACAGAATCGGCAAGAGCAATAAATCCCTTCACCCAATTAACTACCCTCTCCCCTGCCCAACACTGGGGTTTGTTTGCTTGCTTTTTTTTTAGGGGGAGGAACGTTTCAAGACAGGGTTTCCTGTGTAGTCCTGGCTGTCCTGGAATTCGATTTGTAAGACCAGGCTGGCCTTGAACTCACAGAGATCCATTTGCTGGGATCAAAGGCGTGTGGCGCCATGCCCGACAAGACATTCTTCTTACACTCTTTCATCACCAGGAGGGCAGAGCCTCAGGAGCCACCTTTCCAGCTTCGCTCCTCCTCGTTAGCGCATGTAACTGTCACCAAGACCTGATGTGTGAGCACCTCAATGCAAGGTGGAGCACTCCAACCCTAAAATCTGAAATGGAAAATGCTCCACAACCTGGAACATCATAGTCAAAAGACCTACGACAACAGTTCCCAGTCTCCCTAATGCTGAGACCCTTTAATTCGATTCCCTGTGCTGTGGTGACCCCCCCCCAACCATAAAATGAGCTCATTGCTACTTTATAACTGTAAAGCTTGCTACTGTTTTGAATTGTGATGTAAATATCAGATATGCAGGCTATCTCATGACCAACCCCTGTGAAGGGCCATTCCACCCTCTCCCACAGGGTCACAAACCATAGGTTGAGAACCACTGACCTAAGAGTAAAGTTTATGCAGATGTTGCCAAGTCCAGAAACTCTGGAATTTGAAACACTTCAGGTCCCAAACATTTCAAGAAAGGGGTGTCCCACCTGCACTACTGTCACTGAAACCCATCAGTTAACTTTTCTGTCCCCTCCAGTGGAAATACGATCTTGGCTTTGACTATCCAAGAGACAGAGTGAACTTGTCATATGAGGGTCTCAGAGAAGAACCACAATGCCAACCTCACAAGGAACTGCGGTCTCTAGACCAAAGACTAGCGGTTTCTAGGTAAAACTGCATTATGGTTTGTGAAAAGCTAAAAAGGCTGAAGAAAAAAAGTCTGATATAAATGTACATTTGATGCATATTAGTATATTTGCGTATTTATATCGTATGTACATATGTATATTTGATGTATATTAGATGTATATTAGTATATTTGCATAGTTATATGGTATGTACACATGTATATTTGATGTATATCAGTATATTTGCATATTTATATGGTATGTACATATGTAGATTTGTATTAGTATATTTTACTACGAGATCAAGTCTAGAGCTTTGTAAAGATCCTATGTCAAAAATACACCAATATTCATTCATTAAAAACTGTTTTTTGCCTGCATGATGTTAACTCCATCCAGTACGTGCATAAGTGTAAGCTACTGTCCCTACTTTCTTCATGTGAAAGTTGGGTGAAATTTTCCAGGGTCAACACCAGGCCAAAATTGGAAGAGTCTTCATAGCAAAAGACCCAAATCCTTCTTCTGCATTTGTAGACTCTAACCACAGGAAAAATGAGCCCCTGAAGTTAGGCACTCACTCTGCAGTAGCACCAGCCATGCCCTGCAAGGAGCCAATGAGGAGAAGCAGGTCTGTCTACCAGACACCTTTGCAGACCACACCCTGGTACCCTGACCAATCATCTGTCATAGCAGGGCTGGGGTCAGCCCCACACGTGTGCTCATGTGCCCAGAAGCAGCAATCTGGGTTACAATCTGGGTTACAAGATCTGTCCTTTGCATTTATTCCTGTCCTCAGACCTGCTTTCTTCCATCAGAAAGAAATAATGGACATTTAGATTTTGTTTTCTTAATTTGCTAGACACGCGAAATTCACAGAATATTATTTTTCACTTGAGTTAGGTTTTGTGACCTTGTAAAAATTGAAAAGTGAAAAGCATCAAGATAAGTGGGTCAGCTTAAGGAGTAATAATTATACTAACACCCTCTCCACATTTCTGCCAGAATACCCACAGGGCCCTCTGCCTCATGCCCAGAAGATGCCAGAAGTGAATCTTAGACTGTGCAGATCATAAAATTCACACAACCCCACACCAATGACCAGGAGTCGTTCCCCCGCCACTGGCTTTGGAGGCCGCTGCGGGCTTAGCCACACCAGGAGTCCCCCACCGGCACTGTGGACCACTGCCGGCATAGCTACACCAGGAATCCCCCCCCCGACCTGCACTGCAGACCACTGCCGGCATAGCCACACCAGGAATCCCCCGACCTGCACTGCAGACCATTGCTGGCATAGCCACACCAGGAGTCCCCCGACCTGCACTGTGGACCACTGCCAGCATAGCCACACCAGGAGTCCCCCACCAGCACTGCGGACCACTGCCGGCATAGCTACGCTTTTAAAAAGAAAGAATGCCGGAACTTCTGTTAGCTATTTTGTAAAGCTGGCACTGTTTGTTTGAATGTTGCGTATCATAAAAAGACACTTAGGCAGTTTTAATGGAAACAGAACCAGCATTTGGAATGCCCTAAATCTTTCTTGTCTTTACCACCAACTGTAATAATATACAATAACCATATGTCCTACATTTCCGGCAGAGTTTCGATTTCACGTATTTTGTTACATAAAATTAATAAATAGGCTTGTACAGATTGCTTAGGAATTCTTCTTTTTACATTTTCCAAATGTTATACATTCATGCCTACATTTTTCTCATAATCAAAAGGAAAAACCCTCATATAATATATAAATACATCTTTATATTATGTTCATTCAAAACTCTACAAATGAATGCTCATAGCAGCTTTATTCATAATTTTCATAAAACTTGGAAGCAACCATGATGTCCTCCAGAAGCCAGGTATCACAATGCATGCCTGTAACGCAAACAACTCAGACAAGACAAATAAGCTGTGTACGCCACACAACATAATATTATTCAGACCCAAAAAGAAATGACCAAGCCCCAGAGAACATGGAA